TCTGCTGCGTGCCGCTTGGCGGATTCGCCCCCCCCCCCCCCCCCCCCCCCGCCCCCCAGGCGAGTGCTCTCGCAGGAGTGACCTCTGATGGGGGACCGAAGAAGGACAGAAACATGAAAACTCGGAGGTCCGCGCGGATTTCTCGGATCGCGCGGACCTCCGAGTTTTTATGCTTCTGCCACTTGTTGCTCCCCCATCTGCTGCCGGCCCCATAAGGGGTCCCCCGATCGCCAGACGCGAAGCGGTAGCAGCGGCCTGCGCGCCCAGGTTTGGCCACCCCCTCGTCCCCTGTTGAGCCGCGCGCCGAAGGTTACTCTTGTCCAGGGTCGCGCTTGCGTGCAGCCGATTCCAGTATTTCCTGGTGCTCCACGCGGGCTGCAAAAAGGAGGGCCGCTGGATACTCTTGGAGATCCTGGAGCGCATCACGAGCCAATCTTCTCATGAGCTCATTCTGGCCCTAGTTGGTGCGGGCCCACACCGTCCCCTCAGCACTGGCCTGTTCGCCCCGCCGACGGATAGGATGCAACTCCTGGGAGGATGAATTCAGAATCGGCGCTGGTATATCCCTGGTCGAGAACCGGCCTAATTTGGTTGATGCCCGTCCAATCTGGCTGAATCCCGCTTCATCCCGCCTGATCCCGCTTATAATCCAGGGCTTGTCCTGCTTGGTCCCTTCGGGCTTAGTAGCCTTACATCGTTCTGACGAAGACATCCCAGCAGTGGCCCCATGCATACTACCCCAGGGTCACTCTTGTTTGTAGCCGAAGAGATGTTTTGTTTCGGTTCCGCGTTGCCAGGGTGACTCAAATCATCCCTGTTATATTATCACGTGTCGTCCTGCCGCGGGCTTGCACCATTCAGCGCGGTACCTCTTCATTCTTGCTGCGTGCTCTGGAGACCCTACACATGCGGGTGCTGCATTTTGGGAATGCCGCGGTCGTTTTGAGGAACATTCGGGCTTCCACAAGATCTGCGGCCTTGGAAGGGACCCCAACCCTTCGTATTCCCCGACGCTGCATGCCCGAGGCGCGCCGACGTCGGGCATTGATTCCCGCGCGCGTGTTTTATGTTTGTTTGTGCGCGTGTGTGTGTGTGTGTGTGTGCGTGTTTGCGTGTGTGCGTGTAGGTGATGTGTGTGTGTGTGTGTTCGTCTGTCCTTTCCCCGTTCTTGCACGCTGGCCAGTTCGCTTCTCGGTGCCCACGTTTAGCTCTAGCGCTGGTGCAGCCAACTCTGCTCGCCGCCGATGGATCAACAAAAACGTGTGTGAAAGCACCAATCGAAGAATGCAAGGAGAATGGACGTCCGAGCCATGGCAAGCCCCTGGGGCTTCTGTTGGCGCCCCGACGTCCCTCGGAGGCCTCTGCCAGGCGTGCGGCAGCAGGGGGAAATGCACTCGGGATGTAGACGGCGCAGCTTTCTTTGCATGTTTTGGGCCGCGGTGGCAGTTTCGCTGGGCATCGCTCGGACGTGTGCATGTTTTCTTCGGCGAAGACCATCGAGGAGCATCTGTGATCATCTTGCGAAGAAATCCATGTGCGAAGCCGAAAAATATACGGTACATTCCAAGTTAGGGGCCCTTCAGGGCCCTTCCCTGCAGCCCTCGACAGCCCCCCCGTTGTATTGCCCCCCCCCCGCCCCCCACTGACGTCTACGTTTCTTTGGAGGCCTGCAGAGCGGTCCGAAAAGGGCCAGAGACGCGTCCAATTGGGCGACGATGAGTTGGGGGGAGGGGCAGCGCGGGCGGCCGACGAGGGGCCCTTCAGGACCGCTGAAGGGGCCCTCCCCGGGCCCAGAAGGGGGATTTTAGAGCCCGAGGAGGGCACCTTTCTCCCCCTCCCATCTATGCCCCCCTAATAGTTTGCGCCCAATCCGGAAGCCATGATCATCGAGCGAGGAGGAGAACCTAGACATGCCCGCGCCGTGAACAAAGTCACGACGGGAGGTTTTTGGACGTTCTCGCAAACACTGCTCAGGCTGAAAAGCCGGTCCCAGAGAAGAAAAGGTCGAGACCTCCAGGGGGGCACGTCTTCACCAAAGCACGACGTCGGGGGTCTGGGGATACCGGCACGGCTGGATTCGCCTCGAAACTCCTGGTCAGAACGCATCCCGGAAGAGATCCAGGGAGTTCCTCATACCCTGGCGTTACTTGTGTTCTGCAACCGGCGAGTTTGCCTTGTTCGGGCCCCAGGACCCCCACAGATCGATCCGGCTCGAGACATGCAGCAGAAAGATGGTGTCCAGGGTTCGTTCGTGTACTGCGGAGGCCATACAGGCGGTGCCGTCGACCCTGAATGCGGGACCTCCCCGGGGACCCCCGCTAGCGACACCTCCTGGGACCCGCTGGGACCTGCGGGGAGTGGCGGCTTTTTGACCCAGGCGCCCCCCCCTTCCACCCCTGGGGGCCACCACCCCCGCTGCCCTTGAAACCGCCGTGACCCCGGGGGGGGGGAAGGCATTTTGACCCGGGACCCCCCCCTACCACTTCCGGCAGGGAAGGGATAAGGAGAAGAGAATCGACTTAACTACGACGTTCCTTTTCTTGTTCCCCAATATCCTTGGGACTGGGGATGACGACGACGACAAAATGAAAACGAAAAAGCGTCTCACACACGCCGAAGGGTCGGCGGATTTGTTCCCTAACATCCTGTGGCGGTGGGTCTTCGTTGTGAAGAAGCAGCGCCGCGCGTTCCACCTCCTCTCCTCTGCCCCCCCCCTCTTCCTCCCATCCCTGCATCTGCCCTTCGCATGTTTCTGTTTCGGCACACTCCTCACGCGGTTGGTTCCTCCATAGGGAGCTCCACCGAAAGCCCCAGGGGCCATGTCCCCACGCGGCCGCCCCACCCATTTCGGCACTCCCCACACACGCTTCCTGGCCCCATAGGGAGCTCCACCGAAGGCCCCAGTGGCCATGTCCACATGCGGCCGCCCTGCTCACTTCGGCACACCGCTCACATACTTCGTGGTCCCATCGGGAGCTCCACCGAGGACCCCAGGGGCCACGTCCACACGTGGCCAACCCATGAATTCCTGCACACACCTCACTCGTTCCGTGGCCCCGCTTCTCCGGACTCCCCAGTGGCCATGCCCACATGTGGCCGCCCACTTCATGTTAGCACACACCCCTCACGCTCCTCGTGGCCCCACAGGGAGCTCCACCGAAAGCATCAGGGACCATGTCCCCATGCGGTCGCCCCATTGATTTCGGCACACCCCTCACACGTTGCGTCGCCCCAAAGGGAGCTCCACCGAAGGTTTAGGGGCCATTTCCACGTGCGGCCGCCCTATACATTTCGGCACGCCCCTCATGCGCTTCGTGGCCCCATGGGGCGCTCCACCGGAGGTTTTAGGGGCCATGTTCACGTGCGGCCGCCCCACCAGTTTCGGCACACCCCTTCAAACGTGTCGTGGCCCCATAGCCCATAGCGAGCACTTCTGGAGGTCACGTAGGCAATGCCCACAGGTTGCCCACCCATCTCGGCACACTCCTCGCACGCTTCGTGGCCCCATAGTGAGCTCCATCAAATGTGTTACTCACAACGACGGTCCTCGCCTCCTCCCCCTCTTTACCTCTGCTCTCTGCCTCAGTCAACAAGCTCGACACGACCCCCACACGCTTCGTGGCCGCATAGGAGGCTCCACACACGAAGGCCCCAGTGGCCATGTCCACATGCGATCGCTCCATCCAATTCGGCAAACACCTCATGTGTTTCGTTCCCCCCATAGGGGGCTCCACCGAAGGCCCCAGGGGCCATGTCCACATGCGTGGCCGCCCCATGCGTTGCGGCACACCCCTCACACGCCTCGTGGCCCCATGGAGCTCCACCAAAGGCTCCAGGGACCATGTCCGCGTGCGGCCGCCCCACCAATTTCGGCACACCCCACACGTGCCGTGGCCCCATAGCGGGCCCCTCCGAAGGCCCCAATGGCCATGTCCTCAGGCGGCCTACCAATTTCGGCGCACCGCTCACACGCTTCGCAGCCCCACGAGGAGCTTCTCCAAAGGCGCTGCTCACAACGACGGTCCTCGCATCCTCCCCCTCTTTACCTTTGTGCTCTGCATCAGCCAGCCAGTTCGACGCACCCCTCACACGCTTCGTGGCTCCATAGGAGGCTCCGCCGAAGGCCCAGTGGCCATGTCCACACGCGACCGCTCCACCCATTTCGGCACACCGCTCGCGCGCTTCGTTCCCCCATAGGGGGTTTCACCAAAGGCCTCATCGGCCATGTCCACATGCGGGCGCCCCACCAATTTTGGCACACCCCTCACACGCTGCGTGGCCCTATCGGGAGCTCCACCGAAGGCCCCAGGGGCCATGCCCACGTGCGGCTGCTCCACCCTCAGTGGCCGTGTCCACACGCGGCCGCCCCGCAATGTTCGGCACACTCCTCACACGCATCGTGGCTCATATGGGAACTTCACTGAAGTCGGTACGCACAAAGACGGCACTCGCAGTTGCAGTTGGCTCGGCCCTTCGGCAGGATCATGTCGTGGCGACGCATCTCAGTGGTAGCGGTATCGGTTCTCTCTTCGCATACCCAGATCCTCCAGCTCATTACCCATATCCCACCTGCCCCTCCTTGGCGAGCGGATTTTCTACCACCGCTACCATAGTAGGAGAGGGAGGAGGAGGAGGAGGAGGAGGAGGAGGAGGAGGAGGAGGAGGAGAAGGATGATGATGATGATGATGATGATGATGATGATGATGATGATGATGATGATGAGGAGGATGAGGAGGAGGAGGAGGGAGGAAGGAGGAGAGGATGGGGGAGGAGAGGGGAGGGGGAGGAGGATGAGGATGAGATGATGAGGATGAGGATGGATGAAGGAGAGGAGGAGGAAGAGGAGGAGGAGGAGGAGGAGGAGGAGAGAGGGAGGAGGAGGAGGAAGGAGACGGAGGAGGAGGAGGACCTCCCTTTCCTCCGTTCTCCCCCGTTTTTCCCGCGGTAGCGGCGGCGGTAAATCGGCCCATCAATCCTTGCTTGGGCCTCGCCTCCGCAGGGAGTGCTCCATCGGCCGGCAGTGCTCATTGCGGTCCCTGCACTCGTCGCACACGGCCATGGCGCACCTCCCCTCGATCATGGAGCCGAAGGCCTCCTCCGAGCGTTCTGCATCTACCTGCCGCCTCCTCCTCCTCCTCCTCCTCCTCTTCCTCCTCCTCCCTCCTCCTCCTCCTCATCCCTCCTCCTCCTCCTCCCCCTCGGCCTCCTCCTCCTGCTCCTCCTCCTCCTTCTCCTCCTCCTCCTCTTCCTCCTCTCCTCGATCATGGAGCCGAAGGCCTCCTCCGTGTACGCTCTGATCCCATAGACCTTCACAGGGCTGTCAAAAGCGATCTGGGATGAGCAACGGATCTTCCTGGAAGCAGTCAGAACACGCGCCCCGGTTTTCATGGAGTGACGACGTCGGAGGTCTGGGATTGACTGTGTTGTTTGCTGCATGGCCACCGCAGGTGGCCTCCGTCCTCCTTCGGTTCCTCCTCATTTTGTGGATCCAGGGGGTCGATTCAGCTCGCAACCTCTCCTCGAAGCATCGGGGCCTCAGCAAGGAGAGGTATGATGCGGATCCGGAGGAGGGAGCGGGAGGAGGAGGAGGAGGAGGAGGAGGAGGAGGAGGAGGAGGTGGACGGGGAAGAGGGGTATGTAGAAGGAGGAGCAGGGGGAGGAGAGACGGAGGAGTGTTGAGGCTGCTGTTATTCCTTTTCCTCATCCTCCTCCGTCCTCCTTCGCATTCTCCGTCCTCCTCCACCCCTCCTTCCCACTTCTTAGCGTCATGCACATGTTTCTCTCTTGTGTCAGCGGGCTACGGGTTGGAGGGCGTCACCTTTTCAAAGATTGTCCTCGCTTGAGGCCTCTCCTTTTATTGTTTTTGGCTATGCAGCTTGCGCATGCAGTAGCTTCAGAAACGTCTACAGAGGACTAGAACCAGAGAGGATCGCCGTCGTGAACAAACAATTCAACCCTTATTGCCCCTCCTCCCCGCGCCTCCGATATGTCAGGTGTGTTTTCAATGCGCCCCCATCCGCCACGTCTTGACAGTTCACCCAAAGACACGGGTGACATTGAAGTCAGTGCACCACTTGGCAACAGACGGAACCTGCGTATGCAAATCCGTGCTGCGCAGGGCGTGCCCCTCGCTTCCCGCGCACACACCTACATATATATATATACACATATACACACGTATATGTGTATATATATGTGGTTGTGTGCATATGAGAAGACATGCATATGTAGACATAGACACTGCTAGTGCGTGCGACAGGACAGTGCTTATAGGGGGCTGCGGGGCGAGCGCGCAGAGGCATGCTGAACTCACTGTGGGGCGCGAAACGTGCGAGTGGTTTGCTGGAATGGGCGGGGGGACGCTTCGCGGACGCGCTCGTTGGATCGATCGCAGGTGTAGCTCCCTAACGGGCTCGAGTCGTGTGGGGCATGTGCCGAAATAGGCAGGGGAACTGTGCACGGGCGTCCTCGCTGGTGCCGTCGGTGGAGCCTCCCCCCTGTGTGGCGCTAGGCATGCGAGGTTTGTGCCGACCTGGGGCGGGAACGGCATGCGTGCGCACCCGCTTTGATCTCTCAGTGGGGGGTAGAGCTTGCTCGTGGGAGGGGTACAATTTACGGTCAGGAGCCTTCGCTTAGCGTGTCGCGCCGCCGCTTCTGGCCCACCACGCTTCGGAGCGAAACGCTATCCACTTCGAGGCTCCCAGGCGTCAATGTCTCGAGCTCTTCCCAAGTTCCCGCCCCGCGGAGTGGAGCGACCCGCTGTTCGCTTGCAGGGCATAGCGTGTCGCTGTGGCCGCCATATCGTAAAGGGCGCGGTCTGCGGGGTGCACTCACTTCGAAAGATACCGGTGTCGTCAACGCTAGTGCTCTTCCTCAGCTCCACTGCTCGAGGAGAGAACCCACCCACCCACCTGCAACCTGTTGGAACGCCTCAGCCGGCGAAGTGGCGCAGGGACTCCTTCGATGCAGGCCCACGGCCGACGACACGGGCGGGCGCGTGCTAGATAGATGATGGCGCTGCTGGGTCGCGCCCCGAGCCTCCGGCGCCTGGCGCCCCGAGGCCGCGCCGCGGGGGCCCGCCGACGACGACGCCGAGGCCTCCCGCGCGTCGCCGCCGGGGCCCCTCCGGCGGGCGGGCGAGCCGCCGGAGCCCGACGGCGCCGCGGGGCCCTCGTCGGCCCGGGCGCGGCGGCTGTGCGGCAGGGCCCCGCTGGAGGCCGCGCGGCGGCGGGCGGGAGGGGAGGGAAGAGAGGCGGGGCGGGCGGGGGCCTCCGTGCGCGGCGCGTGCTGGGCCGCCGCGGGGCCTCGTGGGGGCTTTTTTCCCGTGGCCACGGCCGGGCCCCCGGCGAGGGGGGGGCCAGGGTGCACACCGGGAGGGCCCTGGGGTAAAACAGGGCTATAGGATCGGGATAAATCGCTCCTCCTCCTCCTCCTCCTCCTCCTCCTCCTCCTCCTCCTCCCAGATCGACTCTAGGAACTTCTAGGATCGGGATAAATCGCTCCAGAGCGTTCCGGAGCGCTCTCAGAGCGTTCCGGAACGCTCTGGAGCGGCCGCGGCGCCCATATACATCCTCCAAACCCGCCGATTCTCAGAGATCTCGGGTTGTCCCGATCCGATTTTGTCCCGATCTTCGTGTCGTTTTGGGGGGGCCGATCTTGAGCGGAGGTGGGCCGGTGGGAGAGGCCTCGTGCGGTGGGGAACAAGCCCAGACATGATCGCGTCGTGAAAGGAAAGTCAGGGAGGCGAGTGTGTGTTGCTATTTTCGGCCCCTGGGGGCCCTCGCCGGGCCCTTGAGACCGTCAACAAAGCGGCTCGGATGAAGAGCCGTCCCCTGGGAAAGGGTCCAGAGACGCCGTCCTGAAAAAATCAGAACGTAGCATGTCTGGGAAAGCGACAAGAGGATCAAAGCCGTTGTCGGCCCCCAGGGCCCCTGTACTGGGCCCTGGCAACGTAAACAAAACTGGCCCCGATGAAAGTCTGGTCCACCTCCGCGTGTCCACGGAGCGTAAAACACGGCGTCGAGGGTCGGGTCTGGAATCCAGGTTTCAGGTTCAACGTTATTTCATTTCGCAGATGTCGATGCCTTGCCTCTGGGCCCTCTGGGGGTCCTCTTCGCCACGGCTGGGGTCTCCTCGAAGTCTTGGTCATAGCAAGCCCCAGCAGACTTCCAGGGAGGTGTATTTTTGCGTCTTGGGCCCCTCTTGGGCGGGGCCCTCTGGCGCCTAGGCCGCAAGGAAGCTCAAACATATCATACTCAGCGGGACGTCTCTTGTCTCTTCTCCGAGTCCTCCAGCTCCTTCTCTTTTTCCCTAGTCGGAGGTGAGCGGTACAACAGGTGAGAGGAGGAAGAAGAGGTAATGATGAGGAGGAGCAGGAGGTGAGCAATCATCGACTGCCGCGATGCTAGAGGGGGTCAAAGCTCGGCAACAGCGATGCTGGAATGATATTGGGCTTGCTGCTCCCAACCGTTTTAGCCATGCCCATCTCTGGCGACGTTATGTTCTCTCTCGCCCGTACGTTTCCTCTCTCTCTCTCTGTCCATCTCAATGTCTCGCCCTCTTTATTGTTTCTCTCTATCTCTCTATATTTATCTTTCTTCCTGTGCCCCATAACTACACTGTGTTCACTTTCTCTCTCTCTCTCTCTCTCTCTCTCTTTCTTTCTCTCTCTCTGTCTCTTCCGCTCTCATATGTATGTGCATACAGGTTTATATGTCTATGTGTCTCTCTCTCTCTCTCTCTCGCGTTCTCCCTCTCCTTCTCCCTGTCTTTGATGCGGGGGCAGCGATGGTAGCGAGATCGGCGCGAGCAGCGACTCATGCAAAATCTCGTGGAGCTGAAGAGAAGACAGGGGAATGTAGAAGGGCGTTGGAAGATAGGAATCGCACCTAGTCATCTTCGGGTCTTTGACATGCGCGAGCTGCGCCACACTCTGAGAACGCATGGCAGGGCATTTGGAGGCACACAGGGTAAGAAACACAGTCTGGAGCAGGTTTGATTTGCGAGGCGCGTTTGGATTGCAATGATGTCCTTCTGAGCTGCATTCGGGTAGGCTTGTTTGAACTCTTGGCAGGGCAGCGCCTTGATCATTCTGCCCTATGGCTTCTCATTCTGTCCCCCCTCCCCAGCAGTCCCTGCAGGCCGTCGAGGACCGCCTGACTCAGCGCATTGAGGCATTGGCGCAACAGGCCATCTATTACTTCTGTGGGGAGGGCGCAATGTGTTCTGGGGCTGCGTGCCTGCGATGTTCGGGAGCGCTTCTTATTGAGGCTTCGGCGATACCGATACTGCGTCTGCGGTGCACTTTGTTGCGTTGAGCAGTGGCGTAGTGGCAGTCGCCGTTGCCACTGCCGCGTTCTGTCGGCGCCGCTGCTGTTGATCATTCAAGCCCGTCGTTATCAGTACGGGCGGCTCTGGCGAGCCGTTGGGCCCAGCGGAACTGCTGTGGCCATATTCCTTATCGCGCAGAGTCAGAGCCGTGTGATATGGTGTTGGCTGTTGGACACCGTTCGATGTAATTGCTTATACAGACGGACCGAGGTGTAGTATCGAGGTCGGTTCGGGGATGGTACCCTGGTGTTTATCGTGTTTGTTGAATGTTCTTGTGCATCCTGGTGGAGTGTACCCTTGAATGTTCGACTTGTTCTGGAGTACGGAGGGTCTCATGTTCCTGAAATATGTTCTTATGGCCTAGGTCCGACTGTATGGTGTTGGCTGTTGAACACTGTTCGATGCCATTGTTTGTCAGATGTGCGGATGGCTGTTACACTGCTCATAACGCTTGTTCCCAGTTGTCTTCCATTGCAGATGCTGCTGTCATGGCGGTTTGGCGTGGCACATTGGGCATGACTTGTATGTGTGGTTCGGCGTTCTGGTGTAAGCGGCTCCTTGTTTTTATCATCTACGTATTTGGCACACTGTTCCCATGGTGTCCAAACCATGCGTGCGCATTTGCATGCCCGACATGCGCTGCCCCCCCCTCTCAGGGTTTCCTGCCCACCCCCTCCCAGGACTCCCGCAACAGAGGAACCAAACCATGGACGCGAGTACCCATTCGATATGTGCTGCCTCGCACATCCGGCACCGCGCTGGGGCGTCTTGAGGGGGAACCCGCGGTCCTCGAGGCATGGAACTTCGCTTTCGACATTGCTGTTCTGTCGACAGGCGGGGGGTTCAGGGGCCCCAGGCAACAAAGTGACTCATGCTGGACGATGCGCCGGTGACCTTGACTATGTACTGCTTCCCAAGGAGAACGAGTGAGAGGAAAGCAAGGCATCGGCAAAACTAGCGAACATAAGGTGGAGGAGAAGAGAGGAGGAGAAGGATGTTGAGGTCCAGACTGGCGAGGAGGAGCAAGAGGAGATGAACGTTGACAAGTAGCATCATGATGCGGAGTATGAGAGGAGGAGGGGGAGGAGGAGCGAGCAGGATCAACAGGGGGCAGATTCTGAGGAGGAGGTGGAGAAAGAGGGGTAGGAAGGGGAGGAGGAGGATTAGGCGAGTACGAGGAAGATGTTGAGAAGGAGGAGAAAGAGAGATTGAGAGGAGGACGAGAAGGAGGATGAGGAGGATCAAGACGAGGTTCTGCATGAACTGGAGGACGATCGTTACGATGAGGAGTTTGGGGAGGAGAATGCGGCGGAGGGAAAGAAGCAGACAACGAATCGAGCAGGGCCAGGAGGAGGAGAGGTAGGGCGGATGAGGAACAGAAGGAGCAGGAGCGGGATGAGGGGGAGGGGTGGGGGGATGGGGGCCAGGGGGGGAGCAGAGGGAGGAGGACGAGGAAGAGCAGGACTGGAGCAGGCTCCATCTACGCCATCGATGCGGCAGCACGCCCACCCGCCCCAGGTCCTCCGATATAAGGCCCCTCCAAAGGCCTCCTGCTCGCTGCGCGAGGAGCTGCCCCCCTGGAGGGACGGGCGCCCCGCGGCCCTGCAGTTCCGGGCGAGAGCTCTACGGCCACCCCGCAGGAGCAGCTGCCGCCAGTGCCTCTGCGGCTGCAGGGGCGGCGGCAATGACGAACCAACAACACACACCCACACCCATAGGTCGGCGGCGGGCGCGGGGGGGAAATGAGAAGGGGCGGGACTTCCGAGGCTTCTGAGAAGTTTCTGGACTTCTGAGAGGGCTTCTGAGAAGTTCTGTCTGTATTCGAAATAGGCCAAGGAAACGTCTCAGAAGCCCCCCGGACTTCTAAGAAGTCCCGCGGCCTTCTGAGAAGGCCTTCTCCTTCTCATTTCCCCCCTGGGCTCGTCGCCTAATAGGGGGGTCAGAAAGGGCTATGGGTGCGTGTTGTCGGACGGGGGTCCCCGCTCGAACGGGAGCGTTCCCTGGGGTCCGACAGCCCGCACCCCTACCCATAGCCAGTCCTCCTCGCAAGGACCCCCTTATGGGTATGGGTGTGTGTGTGTTGTTCGTTCGTCAGGCAGGGCAGGAGCACCAGGCCCACCGACGTGCCCAGCGCAAGCCCCGCTTGGAAAGGAGGGGGCCTCGATCGGAGAGAAAAGCCCCTCCAGAAGCGTTTGGTCAGGGAGCCCAAGGGAGCCCCAATTGAGCGAGAGCCCCGATGTCACCGACGAAGAAACACGTAAACATGAACTTTTGGCGCTCCGCGCGGACTTCTTGGATCCGCGCCTGCGCCCTCCCCGCGGCGCCCCGCGGCGCCGACCCTGGCGCGTTCCGCGCGCGCTGGAATCCAAGAAATCCGCGCGGAGCGCCAACATTTTATGATTATGCGTTGTTTTCCTTCCTCAGAGCGCGAGTTACCTACCCCCCGCTTTCCTAGTTTGGCATCGGGTGCAGGCCGTAGTTTGGCCGTAGTGTGGCATCGCTTGGTACCTCTTGGAAGCGAGGGTGGTCAAAAGCGAGGTATGTCTGTTTGCCCCCTACACCTCAGGCGATGCTTAAGAAAACTTAAGTTTTCGGCCAGAGTCTCGATTATTCTTAACGTTTCAATGTAAATCTTAAGATTTTGATAGAAATCTTGGGTTTTTGTTCAAGTTCTGAGACTATGAATTTCTTAACCCATGATTTCTTAAGCATTTCGCAGGGTGTACTTCCTTTATTTCACGAGGAGCCGCCCTCCACCCGTGCAGCCGCCCTCCGCATGCGTAGCTTCACGGGGCGTCCTGAAGACGAGCGTGCGCAGCGCTGGGGGCCAGCGCCACGTGCCGAATTTGACTTGCTCTTCCTCTGTGTAGCTGGCCGCTGCTGAGGCGACCGCGTGCGGCTCGAGGTCAAGAGTCAAAGCGTGAGAAGGAATCCCTCCTTTTTCTGGCAACTGTTGGACATGCGAACACGTGCGGTACTAAGCCGAGGGCCGCATTCTGAGAAGGAGCCGCCTTCCATTCGTCTACCGCTGGCTTCTTTGAAGAAACATTCGTGCGGCCCTCAGGCGGGAGCCACATGTTGAAAAGGTTGCGCCTCCCCATCCGCGGAACTGCTGTGAGCTTGTCATATGGATCTGCGTGGCGCGATTGCGAGAGTCCCCATTTTGAAAGGGGGCCATACTCCATTCCTGTGAAGGTTGCAAGCTTCTAGACGACTGAATGTGCGCGGCGCGAAGGCAGGAGCCACATTGCTAACCGCAGTCTCCTTCCATCCGTGGAAGTGCTGGTAAATGACGAATGCGTGCGGTGCAACGGCGAAAGCCACGGTGTGAACAGGGAACCGCGCTGGATCCGTGTAGGTGTTGGAAGTTTCTGGGGCGAATGTGTACTGCGCTCAAGCGGAAGCCACGTGTTGGAAACGACCCCGCCTCCGTGTAATTGTTTGAAGTTGTTGATGCGAATGTGTGCGGCGCTGAGGCGAGAGAAGCGTTTTGAAATCGATTCTCCCATCAGTATAATTGCTTGCATCTGTTATTGCGAATGTGCACGGCTTTGGGGCGAGCGCCACATTTGAAAGCAGCCCCCCTTCATCAGTGGAACTGCTGGAAGCTGTTCGAAGGAATGCGCGCAGCGCGAACGGGAGAGCTACAGTGTGAAACCTACCCCCTTCAATTTGTGTAACTTTTGGATGCTTCAAGGTCTAGGTTCACAAGCGGAAATGAAGTCTTGGGCGACAGGCCCGTCTCGCCCTACCGACACGCATGTGTGCCAGACGAGGAGGAAGTGGATGGCGTCCATCACGCGCGCGCGCGTGCAGGTGTCGCAACTGCAGGCCAGCGTCCAGCTGCTGGTGGCGCAGGGCGCGCCCGCCGGGCGAAGCGAGGGCTTTTTCCTCGCCATTGTCCTCCCTCCTCCTCCCTGCTCCCCCTGTCATCTCTCCTGCATGCAACTCAGCCTCCTCCTCCTTGTCCCCATCCCTCTTCCCCCTCCCTCTTCCACCTCCTCCGTCTCCTCCTCGCTCTTCCGCCTGCTCCGCCTCCTCACTTTTCCGCCTCCTCCTCTTCCCTGCTGCTTTGGAACCTGTCGCGAGGAGGAGGAGGAGAAAGAGGAGGATGAGGAGGAGGGAAGAGGAGGATGATGAAGAGGCGGATAGTAGTGTAGCGCTGATGCCATTAAGGGTAGGCGTCATCCTTTGAATGTCGGGTGGGGCACGTGGTCTCTCCCATCCTTGGCCGTCGGTGCCAGTGAACGTTGGGAGTTCTCACCTTTCGTAGGTGATCGTGCGCGTATTCTACCAGATTCGCGGGTACCTTGGATTGGTGGTGGGCATGTGCGCTTCGCGTGCCCAGTGACAGCCACCCCCGTCCACCTCATTGCGGCAATCTCCGCAACAATGGGCCATCACGTATGGATGGTATGCAGCACCGCCGGCATTGCCGCCAGGCTGTGTCATGGAGGCCAACGCCTCGTCTGAGAGCAGATCGGCCAGAACTGAGAAGCTCAAGAGCTAGAGAGGTCTCAGTTTGTGAACAAACTTTCCACCGTGCTAGGCTGGGGAAGGCGCAACCCCATACAGCCGTATCAGGAAGCTACCTTGTGGAAGTTGCAATGCCCCAAAACGGTATCACAATAAAGATGGGACGCACTTGAGGAAAATGGTGTGGAAATGCACAAACATTGTTTTTTTGTTCTCTCTATCTCTCTCTATAGATAGATAGATATAATACGATTACATATATGATGCGCCGTATTCGCCGCGACAAGAGAACACGCTTCACATGCGCAACATTGGGAACGGCTCAACACCATAGAGCCCTATCAGGGTGTTGCCCTGTGGAAGGGCCAATGCCACAGCTTGACTGGTATCTCGGTAGCACAAGAATAAGGAATGTATAAGAGGAGCTCGAGATGGAAATGCGCAAACCAACAGTGCTATAATGTCTGGTGTTCGCCGCGACAAGAAACATTCTTCCAATGCACAAGACTGGGGAAGGCCCACCCCCATACAGCCGTATCATGGCACTGCCCTGCGGATGTAAATACGTCGTGCAAGCGTGAGTTGTGAAGGCAGGACCACCATCATTGCTGCAGGGCTGTGTCTTGGGGGCCAACGCTTCATTTGGGGACGGAATCGCTAGAACGCACAAGCCCCACGAAGTGAAGCACTGCCGGTCTGGTAACAAATCGTCCAACGTGCTCGGCTGGGGAAGGCGTGCCCCCACGCAGCCGCATCAAGATGCTGCCCTGCGAAGCCAAAATCTTCGTGCGAGCGTGCATTGTGAAGGCAGGGCCGCCGGCTGTGCCGACGGGCCGTGTCCTGGAGGGTAGCGCCTCTGCTTGAGGCGGGGTCACTGCTCACGAAGTGAACAGTTCCCGTTCCATGACATGCTAACCTTGGGAAGGCTCACCACCATACAGCTGCATGAAGTGTGCGAGCGTTGCTGGGGAGGTAGATAGCACTTGCAAGCACTTATTTTGAACGCAGGGTCACCGGCATTGGGGCAGGGCTATGCCCTGGATGTTGGCGCCTCGTCTGGGGACGGAATCAATCGAACGGACAAGCCGACGGAGTAACGAGTTGTCTTTCAATCAGGACTTTTCGATCGTATTCGACTGGAGGAGGCTCACCCCCGTACGGCCGTATCGAGGCGCTGCCCTGGTGATATGTATGTATATATATATATATGTCACTCGTGTACTGGTGCAGGACCGCCGGCAATGCCGCTGGTCTGTGTCTTCGGAACTTAGCCTCCGCTGGAAACAGAACTTCTAGAACCGATAAGCTAACGAAGTCGAGGGCTGCCGTGCCACGATCGCCTGGTCTGGCAGCGGATCCATCAGACCGAACGAGCTCACGACTTAAAGAGTTGGTGTTCCATTGCCCAAGCATCTTCCAACGTGCAGTGCTGGGGCAAGCTAACCCTCGTACAGATGCATATCAAGTACCAAGGCGCTGCCCTGTGGATGTCGATACAACGTGCGAGCGCCCAGCGTGAAAGCAGGACCGCCGGCATTACCGCTTTACTATGTCCTGGGTGCTAATGCCACGTCTTCGGACGGAGTTGCCAGAACGGACAAGTTCAAGACGTAAGGAGATGCCGTTCTAGTAACACATTGTCAGACGCGCAAGCATGGGAATTGCTAGCCACCGTACAGCCGTATCAAAACGCTATCACACCTGCTGCCCGGTCGAAGTAGGTACCACGTGCGAGCATGCATTGTGATTGCAGGACCGCCAGCATCGCTCCAGGGCTAGTTCCTGGAGGTTGCAGCCTCGGCTCGGAAGGGAGACGCTCGATCGGATAAGCTCACGAAGTAAAGAGTTGACGTTCTCTATATTTTATTTTTAGCACTCGAATAAAGCAGCCGTGAATTCGAGCTGTAGTGATTCAGCGGTGGTGCGGTAGGACTAATGGTCCATGATAGGTGTATTGGCGTGGCATGGTGCTGTACTACTCTAAACCGCACTCTGAAACAGTATGCGTGAGAGTAGTACCCTACGGCTGCCTGTAGCGAGTGTGCTACAGGACTTCAGTGGGAGCGTGCCAGCGCCGTAATATCGCAGCACGTTTGTAGTATTCAAGTACTGTAGTGTTGTAGCGGTGGCATTGAAATAATCGGAGTGCAGTATTGCAGCAGTACTTTTGCAGCATTGGTACTCTAGTGTTGCACGAGTAGTGTTATAATTTTGTAAGTCGTCACATTAACAGTAGTAGTAGCAGTAGTAGTAGTAGTAGTAGTAGTAGTCGTATTATTATTATTATTAGTAGTAGTAGTCGTCGCAGTAGTAGTAGTAGTAGTAGTAGTAGTAGTAGTAGTAGTAGTAGTAGCGATAGTAGCAGTGATAGTAGTAGTAGTAGTAGTAGTAGTAGTAGTAGTAGTAGTAGTAGTAGTAGTAGTAGTAGTAGTAGTAGTAGTAGTATAGTAAGTAGGTAGTTCGTATTAGTAGTATAGTAGTAGTAGTAGTAGTAGTCTATAGTAGTAGTCCGCAGTAATAGTAGTAAGTAGTAGCAGTAATAGTAGTGGTTAGTAGTATAGTAGTAGTAGTAGTAGTGGGGGATAGGTGCAGTGATAGTATATAGTAGTAGTAGTAGTAGTAGTAGTAGTAGTAGTAGTAGTAGTAGTAGTAGTGGTCGCCGTAGTGGTAGTAGTAGTAGTAGTCGTAGTAGTAGTCGTAGTCGTAGTAGTAGTAGTTGTTGCAGTAGTCGTAGTAGTAGCAGTAGTAGTAGTAGTAGTCGTAGTAGAAGTACTAGTAGTAGTAGTAGTAGTAGTAGTAGTAAAATCATAGTAGTAGTAGTAGTAGTAGTAGTAGTAGTAGTAGTAGTAGTCGTAGTCGTAGTAATAGTAGTCGTAGTCGTAGTAGTAACAGCAGCAGCAGTAGTAGTAGTAGTAATAGTAGTAGTAGTAGTAGTAGTAGTAGTAGTAGTAGTAGTCGTAGTAGCAATAGTAGTCTGAGTAGTAGTAGTAGTAGTAGTAGTAGTCGTAGTAATGGTAGTAGTCGTAGTAGGCGTAGTAGTCGTAGTAGTCGCAGTAATAGAGCTCTAGTGGTGGAGTACTCAAGCACGGTAGCCGTAACCCTTGTGCCGTAGCAGTAGCTTCATATGGAAATCATAGTAGTACTCTGGTACAGTAGTAGTGGCAGCGCTGTAGTGGTGGCTGTAGGAGTACTACACCATTGTAATCCTTCTAATCTTGTAGCAGCCTTCTCGTACGGCCGTACTGATTTAGTGGTATTCGGATATCATAGTAGTAGTAGCAGTCGTAGTAGTAGTTGTTGTTGTTGCCGGAGGTAGGTTTCAGTAGGAGTAGTAACGATGGTAGTAGTAGTCGCAGTAGTAGTCGTAGTAGTAGTAGTAGTAGTAGTAGTAGTAGTAGTAGTAGTAGTAGTAGTAGTAGTAGTACTAGTAGTCGCAGCAGTCGCAGTAGTAGTAGTAGTAGTAGTAGTAGTAGTAGTAGTAGTAGTAGCAGTAGTAGTAGTGATAGTAGTAGTGATAGTAGTAGTGATAGTAGTAGTGATAGTAAGTAAGTAGTATAAGTAGAGTAGTAGTAGTAATGGTAGGTAGTAGTAGTATAGTAAGTAAAGTATAGTGTAGTAGTAATTATATTAGTAGTAGAGTAGTAGTAGTAGTAGTAGTAGGGGAGTATAGTAGTATTTAGTAGTATTGGGTAGTAAAGGAGTAGCATCGTAGTAGTAGTAGTAGTAGGAGTATAGTATAGTAGTCGTAGTTTTTAGTAGTAAGAGTAGTAGTAGTAATAGTAGTAGTAGTAGTAGTGGTGGGGTGGTGGGTGGGGTGTGGTGGTGGTAGTAAGTAGTAGTAGTCTAGTAGTAGTAGTAGTAGTATTCCCTGAGTAGTGGTAGTGGTATAGTAGAGTTATAGTAGTAGTAGTTGTAGTAGTGATAGTAGTGTAGGGATAGTAGTAGTGATAGTAGTAGTATTATTAAGTAGTAGGAGTAGTAGTATAGTAGTAGTAGTAATAGTAGTAGTTAGTAAAGTGTAGTAAGTGGTAGTAGCAGTAGTAGTAGTAGTAGTAGTAGTAGTAGTAGTAGTAGTAGTAGTAGTAGTATTAGTAGTAGTGGTAGTAGTGGTAGTCGTAGTCTTAGTCGCAGTCGTAGTTGTAAGTAGTAGTAGTAGTAGTAGTAGTAGTAGTAGTAGTAGTAGTAGTAGTAGTAGTAGTAGTAGTAGTAGTAGTAGTAGTAGTAGTAGTAGTAGTAGTAGTAGTAGTAGTAGTAGTAGTAGTAGTAGTAGTAGTAGTAGTAGTAGTAGTCGTAGTAGTAGTAGTTGAAGTAGTAGTAGTAGTAGTAGTAGTAGTAGTAGTAGTAGTAGTAGTAGTAGTAGTAGTAGTAGTAGTAGTAGTAGTA